ATGACACTGACACACAATGGCACCCAATGACACTAACACACAATGGCATAATGACACTGGCACACAATGGCACTAATGACACTGGCACACAATGGCACCTAATGACACTGACACACAATGGCACTAATGACACTGACACACAATGGCACTTAATGACACTAGCAACAAATGGCACTAATGACACTGACACACAATGGCACTTAATGACACTGACACACAATGGCACTTAATGACACTAACACAATGGTACTTAATGACACTGACACACAATGGCACTTAATGACACTGACACACAATGGCAATTTTAATGACACTGACACTAATGGACATAATGCACTGACACACTGGCACTAATGACACTGACACACAATGGCACTAATGACACTGACACACAATGGCATAATGACACTGACACACAATGGCACTAATGACACTGACACACAATGGTACTTAATGACACTGACACACAATGGTACTTAATGACACTGACACACAATGGCACTAATGACACTGACACACAATGGCATAATGACACACTGACACTCAATGGCACTAATACCACCTTAATGGCACATAATGGCACGGTGTCTGTGTGAAGGAGTAGAACTTAGTGAGTCATTATGTTGCTGGCGTCTCAATATCTGCTTTGTAATTATCTAAGAGTGCCTTGTTCTTTGGCGGTGTGTGTGTGTGTGTGTGTGTGTGGTGTGTGTGTGTGAGTGTGTGAAGGAAGATAAGTGAGAGAGGAGTGAGAGAGAGAGAGAGAGAGAGAGAGTCACACTTGTTTCACTGTTAATTTTCTTCAACACACACACACACACACACACACACACACACACACACACACACACACACAAGACACGTACACCTCACCATAACTCACCTGTTCCTGTAGATGGTAATTGGATGGTGGCATTAATACTTAAGGTAGACAAACACACCTGGACAACTTAATTAACTCACAACATATTCTTACCTGTGTAATTTGTGATGAATTTACCTTATAGACCGTAAGTTCTTGTGACCTTGTGATGATGTGCAAAATGTCGGCTTTATTTACTGATTGGCAACCGTTTTTCCTTTTAGTTTTTCTTATTTTCATTGTTTTTTTGTTTTTTCCCTCTTTCTTCTTTCTTCACTCATTTATTCTTCTCCTCCTCTCCTCCCTTTCTCTTCTGTATTCCTCTGCTCTTTCTCTCCCTCTTCCCTCACACCTCCTCCTCTTCCTTCCTCCCACCTCCTTCCTCTCTTCCTTTCCTCTTCCTCCCTCACCTCTCCCTATTTTTACTTGTTTGTTTATTTGTTTATGTTTTTGTTTATTTTTTCATTTACTTATTTGTTCGTTTATTTAATTATTTATTTATTTATCTATTTTTATATAGTTCATGTGTAAACAATACCATTACACAGACTTGTAATAACAGGATCTCTCTCTCTCTCTCTGTGTGTGTGTGTGTGTGTGTGTGTGTGTGTGTGTGTGTTTAAGATCAGAAAATGAAAAACAATAAATAAATTAACAAAATAAATAAATAAATAAATGAATAAATAAATAAAAATACAAATAAATAAATAAAATGAACAGATAAACAAACAAACACACAAACAAACACACAAACAAACACACAAACAAATCTCCAGCCTTAAGATCAGCGAGGAATGTAAAATGAAAAATAAACACGGAAAAAATGGTCTTAATTAGCAGTAAAGATATATAACTACGAACACACACACACACACACACACACACACACACACACACACACACACACACACACACACACACACACACACTCACACACACACACACCTCTCTCTCTCTGCATGTCTCTCTGTCATCTCTGTCGGTCTGTGTTCTCTCTCTCTCTGTTAAGACATATTTTATCACCTTCCTTTAACTCTCCACTCTCTTCTCTCTCTCACTCTTTTCGTCCCTATCTCCTTTCTTCTCTCTCCTCTTTCCATATCCCTCTCTTCTTCCCTCTCTTCTCCCCTTTCTATCTCCCAACCTCCTTATCTGTTATTCCCTTCTTCCCCTTCTCCATTTCTCTTTCCCTTCCTCTTCCTCCATCTTTCATTCACTTTCCTCTTTCTCCCACTCCTCTTTCCTCTGTCCATTCTCCTCCTCCTTCCCGTTCCTCACCTCTCATTCTCCACCTCCCTCCCTCCCTGTCCCCTTCCCATCTTCTCTCAATCTCCATCTCCTCCCTCCCTTCCTCTCCTTTCTCAACTCTCCACATCTTCACCCCTCTTCCCTTCACCTCACCTCTCCTCACCCCTCTCTCTCTCTCCCTTCACCCTCACCTCTCTTCACCCCTCTCCCTCACCTCTCCACATCTCATAAAACATTAAAACAAAGATGAGACCAAAATTTATTAGTTACACCAGAAAGGAAAAACGGAAATCATAAACTCACTCGAGGAGACTTAATAAATATGTCTTGTGGGGGACATTACTGGGTTATAATAGTCAGTCTTTTTCAGCCGTTAGTGTTAAAGATAGCCTGTGGGGGAGAGGCGTATGGGATTGACCTTTAACGAGAGAAAGATAATTTGAAGCCTTTTAAGTAGTGAAAGTTGTGTAGAATGACTTTATTATGAGTGAAAGTTGTGTAGAATGATTTTATTATGAGGAAAGTTGTGTAGAATGATTTTATTATGAGGAAAGTTGTGTAGAATGATTTTATAAAAGTTGTGTAGAATGACTTTATTGTGAGTGAAAGTTGTGTAGAATGACTTTATTATGAGTGAAAGTTGTGTAGAATGATTTTATTATGAGGAAAGTTGTGTAGAATGATTTTATTGTGAGTGAAAGTTGTGTAGAATGACTTTATTGTGAGTGAAAGTTGTGTAGAATGACTTTATTTGAGTGAAAGTTGTGTAGAATGATTTATTATGAGTGAAAGTTGTGTAGAATGATTTATTATTAGTGAAAGTTGTAGAATGACTTTATTATGAGGAAAGTTGTGTAGAATGACTTTATTATGAGTGAAAGTTGTATGAAATGGTGTATGATACTGTATAACAAGGCTTCAGTAAATTTGTTGAGGGGAAGAGGAGGAGGAGGGTAAGAAGAAGAGGAAAGAGGAAAGGGGGAGAGGAGGGTAGTAAGAAGAAGAGGGAAGAGGAGTAAGGGGAGAGGAGGAGGGGTAAGAAGAAGAGGGAAAAGAGGAGTAAGGGGGGAACAGGAGAAGGGAGGGGGAGAAGAGGGAGGAGGAGGAGGGTAGTAAGAAGAAGAGGAAAAGAGGAGTAAAGGGGGAGAAGAGGAGAAAGGTGGGGGAGGATAGGAAAAGGAGGAGAAATAAGAGGGAAAGAAGGAGGAGTAGAGCTTCAGGAAGAAAATATGAGTAGAGAGAGAAGGAGGAAGAAGGAAGGAGGACGAAGGAAACATTCGTAACAAAGAATGAAGAATAGTGACGTTAATCACCGTACCGTCCAACCCCAAGAGTTAAAGTGTTCTGGATTCACTAAAACATCATCCACCTTAACCTGTCCCTTAACTGTTGCTCTGTAGCTGTATCTAGTTAAGGTAGAGTCTCAGTGTTAATTTTGTCTCCTAACTGGTGTGTTAAGTGGGTAGAGTCTCCACTTGCTCCCAACTGTGTGTTAAGTGAAGGTATCTAGTTAAGGTAGAGTCTCAGTGTTAATTTTGTCTCCCAACTGGTGTGTTAAGTGAAGGTATCTAGTTAAGGTAGAGTCTCAGTGTTAATTTTGTCTCCTAACTGGTGTGTTATGAAGGTATCTAGTTAAGGTGAGAGTCTCAGTGTTAATTTTGTCTCCTAACTGGTGTGTTAAGTGAAGGTATCTAGTTAAGGTAGAGTCGTTAATTTTGTCTCCTAACTGTGTTAAGTGAAGGTATCTAGTTAAGGTAGAGTCTCAGTGTTAATTTACCACCATTTTAAAACACTCAACCCACCAGATACGAGGAAAAAATAACCCTAAGACCCTTTAAGACTAAGAGATAGACTCCAGAAAGACTCATAAGACTCCACATAACATAAAGTTTGGATCATTACACACTACAGCAGACTCCCTAAGGCTCGCTGTTACAATAGGAAGCTGCTGTCTCACTGGGCAACTTTGAAAGAGACAGATGAAATATTAAGACAGTCAATATATCTCAGTGTTTGATTCCTACCTGAACCAGCATGATAATAATTTACCGGGGAATTATATATTTGTTTTTTCTTCACTATTTCTTGATATATATTTTTTTAATAGTATATATCTCGGAGGTATTATAGGACGATATATATTAGTATGGTATATTTCATTGCTATATTGTATATGTATAAAGAGTATTTTAATATGTTGAAATCATTTCCTATCTACTTTCCTTTATATCTCTTCCATCTACTTTCCTCCTCTCATTTCTCCTTACTTCCCTCACCCTCTTACCTACTCTCCCTCACCTCTCTCTCCTTACCCACTCCCCCACCCCCACCCACTCCCTCTCTCTTACCCACTTCCCCACCTCCCCACCCATCTCTCACCTCTCTACCCACTTCCCCCACCTCCTCCCACCCACTTCCCCCACCCTCTCTCACCTACTTCCCTCACCTCTTTACCCACTTCCCCCCTCCCACCCACTTCCCTCACCTCTTACCTACTCCCCCACCTCCTACCTACCTCCCCAATTTCACTCCCTACCCCCTTCTCTCACCCACTTACCATAATAACAGAACGCCCACCGGTTACTGACACTCCCTGACTTACTAGCAACACAAGCAACACACTATACGCTGCAACACAACAACAACACACTATGGCGCTGCAACACAAGCAACACACTATGGCGCAGCAACAAAGCAACACACTATGGCGCTGCAACACAAGCAACACACTATGGCGCTGCAACAGAAGCAACACACTATGGCGCAGCAACAGAAGCAACACACTATGGCGCAGCAACAAGCAACACACTATGGCGCAGCAACACAAGCAACACACTATGGCGCAGCAACACAAGCAACACACTATGGCGCGTAACACAAGCAACACACTATGGCGCAGCAACACAACAATACACTATGGCGCAGCAAAAACAAATACACTATGGTGCAGCAACACAAGAACATACCTGCGGCGCAGCAACAGCAACACACTATGACGCAGCAACACAAACAACACACTATGGCGCAGCAACACAAGCAACATACTATGGCGCAGCAACACAAGCAACACACTATGGCGCTGCAACACAAGCAACACACTATGGCGCAGCAACACAAGCAACACACACTATGGCGCTGCAACAAGCAACACACACAAGCAACACAAGCAACACACTATGGCGCAGCAACACAAGCAACACACTATGGCGCCTCAGGGTTTACTGCACTGCTACTTCACTCTGAATAGTAGGATGAGTTTGCATGACCCTGTGGTGGGTGGGGTTGGGGTTGTAGGTAGGTGAGTTGTTGGGGAGAGTGAGGTTGTTGAGGTGGTTGCGGTTTGAATGGTATTGGGTTGGTCTGTCTCTGTCCATCTGTCTGTCTGTCTGTCTGTCTCCCCAAATACCATGATGTCTTGTCCTTCATCCTTCCTCACCACTAACACTCTCTCTCTCGTCGTCGTCGTTCCGGACTCGACCTCAGCCACGCAGCTTAATTATCTTTAGACAACACTATCTATCTATCTATCTATCTATCTATCTATCTATCTATCTATCTATCTATCTGTCTGTCTGTCTGTCTGTCTGTCTGTCTGTCTGTCTGTCTGTCTGTCTGTCATTCCTTATTCTCTCTCTTCTCCTTCTGTTTTCTACTTATTCCTTTCTCCCATCTCCTCATCCTATCCTCCCTCTTCTCTCTCTCTCTCTCTCTCTCACCTCCTCTTTCCCCTCACTCTCCTCTCCTCTCTCTCTTCCTCCTCCTCCTTCCTCCTTCTCCTAGGTGGTTGTACTGACGTCAGACTCACAGCTTAATTACACTGTAGTCGAATTAGGTAAGGAAGGGAGGGAAGGAGGAGGGAAGGAAGGAGAGGAGGAGGGGAAGGGGAGGATGAGGAAGGGGATGGGGAGGGAGGAAAGGGGGAGAGGATGGAGGAAGGGGGTTCATAGGTTAGAGTCCAGAACAACATTATGCTTTAACAACACCAAACCTCAGCTTAGTTTCTCTTCTTCTCTCGTCCTGCGTCTGTCTGTTTGTCATTATCATTTTTTATTTTGTTAGTTATTTGTTTTCGTTTTTCTACACATTATCAAATCTCTTTTTTACTCTTCTTATTCTCTTTCTCTAATTCCCTTTCCACTGTCTCTTTGTCCCTCTCTCTGTCTCTCTGTCTATCTCTGTCTGTCTCTGTCTCTCTGTCTGTCCGTCGTGTTGAGGATGGCCGACCCAAGGGCCACCTAGGCGTAATTTGTTAAAGGTGTAGAAGCTGTCGCCAACACAACAACCACACCCTGAGTTAACGAGCTGCGTGGCCCAGTGTTAGAAGGAATAATCCGAAGACCGGACAACTTGTCAACTGCACTGCAACGATCACCCCCCACACACACACACACTGCATACACACACTACACACACACACACACACACACACACACACACACACACACACAATATATCCTCACCAAATGAGACTTTTTTATGAGGTTTTTCTGTTCACGTCGCCTTTATTTATATGTTCGGGTCCCATTGAGCCGGTCATTATAGAAGAGTAATGAGGACGGCTGCAACACTAACCAACACTCACTACCTAACCTAACCCTCAACCTAACCTAACCCAATCCATACCCATTACTTACGTTCAACTTATACTCGAGACCTGAGAAAAAAACACACATGAAATTATAATTCTTTCAATGTTGACAACATCTGGGAAAAAACATTCTCATCCCCACCCCAACCCCCCACCTCATCCCCCCCACCCCCACCCCACCTCCATCCCCCGGAAAAAATCTTCCGAGACGAGTAATTTTTTATGTGTGTGCTATTGAGGCTTTTCCGTGTCATTTTATATACTTTTTGGGAGGAGGGATTATTTTTGAGGGGGAGGGGGTTCAACAAGTTTTTCTAGCATGTGTATTTGTTAGTTATTTTGTTTGTTTTCTGTGTAATTTAAGGTAATTGTGTGTGTGTGTGTCTGTCTGTCTGTAAATAACAATAATCACAATTAAACTATCACAAAACAATAACAATAGCCATCACCACCACCACAACAACAACAACTACAACCGCAAATAATAACAAACCCACTACAACAATCACCATCACAACTCAACCACCAAAAAACAAGTCATCACCACAACAACCACAACAACATCACCACTACAACAACAACAACCACAACAAGTCATCATCACCACAAAACATCACCACCACAACAAGTCATCACCACCACAACTATAACCACCATCTCACGAAGGTTAAACACACACAAAAAACCATATCAATGTACTAAAGGTCAACTCACCTGGATGCACAACGAACACTCCATTTGCCACGTTTTCAACCTACCTGAGCACCTTTAATTAGTTTCTCCCAGATATAAATTCTACCTGATTTTTTTCTTCGATTATCCTGAGTCGTGTGTGTGTGTGTGTGTGTGTGTGTGTGTGTGTGTGTGTGTGTGTGTGTGTGTATGTGTGTGTGTGTGTGTGTGTGTGTGTGTGTGTGTGTGTGTGTTGGGGAGGTGAGCAAGTTCAACGAACGCCAAAAAATCCCAGGATCACAAACTCCAGGTAATTGAGGTCGGATGATTTTTCCAATGTCTGTCTCTCTATCTGTCTGTCTGTCTTTCTCGTTTTCTCTCTGCCACTATATAATACCTCTCTCTTCTCCCTTCTTCCATTCACACCTCTTTCCTGCCTTTATTCTAGCAATACGTAACTGAACGAAGTATACTGAT